TATACTCTTCCTATCTCCTCGACTCTGTCTTTTGATTTCTCTGGGCGGGAACGAAATATATTAGAAGGTGTTACTGGTAGAAGCGTTGTCAAACACTGAATACCTGTGGCATCATCAAGCGGGATAGTCCTTCCAGCATACGACTATCGTACTCGGTGTCGGCAGTTGGCTTCCTGTAAATGACTCCAACTAGACACCTGGAAGTACTAGACAATCTTACAGAGCACCATATGGATTCCTCAAAATTGTTAAACTCGAGGTTGTGAATCTGGTGCACCTCCAAGCAAAAGCTTATGTATATGGCTACTCCGCCCCCAATTCCTGTTATTCTGTCGTTGCGGAACAAAGTCATCCCAGGTAATGCTAACTCTTGGTCCGAGAACTGAGAAGATATCCAGGTTTCAGATATTCCTATCAGATGGGCCTTATTAGCGTTGCTAAGTTCACGTAGTTCATCCAGTTTGTTTGGTAGACTCGCGGCGTTCATATATAAGCAGTTTATGCTTTCAATTTGGAACGCGTGAGCTTCGTCCTGTTTTTCTGTATGAATCTTATGTGAATGGACAGTTAGCCCACCTATATGAAGTTTGCCGAGGTGGTAGGCCCTGTCCTTTACACGTTTTTTTATCGTTTAGACAGTCCACAAGTGGAATGGTCAGCTCCAACTTGCCTTTGTTCTTGGTCCTAACTTCGTATGGCCTATCCGGGTGCATGTGGATTTCAGGTGGCAATCGACGTCTATTAGCACGAAATGCTTCCAGAACTGCAGCCGCCATGTGGGAAGATGGGAAGGTTATCTTCATTAGACGGGGTCTAAGATCACCGTCCTTCTTGGCTAGTCTCGTCACATGCTGAGTCAGTATGTGTTTGAGCCTCAAGGACTGTTTGATGAACTTCCATTCCCTGATGTCAGAATTTGATTGAGTAGGGTCTGCATTTTCCGGTAATGTAACATGTAACGTTTTCTCCTAAAAGATCCATGATAATTCGTTTGGACTACCGAAGTTTGGAGAAGCATTCGGCACATGACTACTATAAAAAGGTGAAATGTGCGCTTACAGTCCACTTGTTATATTGTGTCTCCAGTTTCTAGGTTTTACCCTAAAGGTTTTCCTTGGAACTGAGCTAAAGTAGGTGTTTAGGGGGTGTACAAAAGTGTTTCGGATGCCATAAGACTTTAGAAGGTTATATCTAAAACGCCTATACTCTAACGAACAAAGGTTAGGTGATTTGAAGCGCTCTCTTCATAAAGTCTGAAACTGAGTCTCCAAACTGACTTCCTGGCTCGCTGTGGAATGCATTCTTGTGTGCCATAATCGGGAAGATTGAATTCCTCTAGAATCAGGAAATAAGTGTGTCCTAAACAACTAGCACGATATAATCGCCCAGCATACGATTTTCTTACTCGTTGTTAGCAGTGAGCATCCTGCAGATGTCTCTAACGAGATACCACGAGCTGTTAGCCAGTCGTACTGAGCACATCGATAAATTTTAAGTGTAAACGTGACGTGTTGCCAAGAAATATCGTTCTCCATTCCTTTATTTCGGTGGTCGCGAAGCAAAGACATGGAAGGTAATAATTGATTCTAGTTCGAAATTTGAGATGCTCATGTTTCAGATAGTCCTATCAAATGAGTGTTATTAGCATCACTTATTCCATTTGTTCGGCAGTCGGATTTTTAGATATGAAACGCTTCCTCGACCCGTTTATCTGAATGAACCTTATGTGTATGGACAAGCAACCTGACTCCCTATGGTTTTCGAAGTTCGTAGTCTCTATCAGTTCGACGTTCTTTCATTTTTCTTGGAAGTCCACAAGTTAAATCATTTGTTCCAATTCGCAATTGTGCCTTAAATTTGCGTCGTGTGGAACGAAATGCTTTGAGATTGGCGGCTGTGGTATTGGAGGATGAGAGCACAATCTTCACTAGCCAGGGACTAGATTCCCTAATCTTCATGGCGAATCACATCACTTGTTGAGTCAATATGTTCCTAATTTTCGATCTCTGCTTTATAACAGACTGCATAGTCAGTGTCCGTGTCTTCTAGGACACCTTAAACAATTATATTTTCACGAACAAACTACGCGAGAAATTCTTTGTTGCGTTTCAGTACGCGACCGGCCAACAGAAGATCCTCTACATCGGCAGAGTTCGTGAACTTTACTCGAGTGAGTCTTCAATGGTTGCAGTGTTTGGAACCCTTTCCCATGTAGACGGTGTAAACATAATTCGCTTGATTTCTAGTCGCTTGAGTTGCCTGGTTAGTTCTTCCCAGAGCGCCCTGAAATTTAATTTCTGTAGAACGAGAGGAAATTTAGAACTGTAATTTAGGTTGATAACTATGAGAGAATCATTTCAAGCCATGGTCGATTTATCAGTTTTTCGGGTACTTTTATGACGACGTCTATTTGTTTGGCAGTTGGATTACGTTTTGGATTATCGTGCTCATTGTTAGCTATTTGAAGAAATCTAGGGTAAATCGCACAGCCAATTCTGTGGCGGATTTTTCTCATGGGCTGTTCAACGTTTTCGACGGTGACATTCTGTCGTTTTCAGCGCTGCTGACTGGGTCCATTCGCCTACGGAATTTTTCGCATCACAGTTGTAATTGAAGGGCCTGTGCTGGGAGACATAAGTTTACTGAGCGAATTTAACACTGTCGATGTTGTGAGTGCACTGAAAGTCAGCATATCACCACTAGTGTCGACGCGTATTTCATCGATCCTAATGATTTGGGGACCATCTCTTTCACTTCTCTGCCTGTCTTTGTTTACTCATTTCATGACTTCCACTCCTCGGAGTTGCTGACATTATTTTCACAGACCTGTTAAGAGAAAGATGAAATTTCTTAGCAAATCTTCAGAATTCATGTTGTGTGTGCTGCACATAAAATGAAGTTTGATTTGCTAGGTTTTTTGTAAGCAGTTGCTGTAAGACCCGTGTGTGATTTGCGAAACCAACTTTTGCATTTGTCACTTGGCATAAGACAGATTGCTTACATGAATACTTTATGACCATGGTGAAATTTGTCGTAAGAGATATTCTAGCGAAATTTAGAATATACTTACTGCTATGTTTGAAGAGGTAATGATATCACCAAATATCAGCATGCAGAACGAAATTCAGCAGCATCACAACAGGACAATATAATTCTCCAACTTCCCTCAAGCCCTGCTAGCTAAAAAATTAGAATTATTGGAGTAGGGTGAATGGTTTATCAAAGTATTGTAGTGACTCACATTCATCACGAGAACACGACTGGTTTAATAAAAACAATTATTATTATAACCAACTGTACCAGTGTTTATTTTAATGTGCTTTTGTTTGACTGTGCAAATGACAGCTATTTTGTTCTTCCATTTACTTACTTACACTTTGATTGTATCTTCGCGCGAATTCGGTTACGTTCTGTAACCAAGCTTGTATCCTGGCACGATCTCGGTATCCTTTCGATGCCACGAGATCGCCAGCAAATAAACATCGACTTGGTCCATTAATTGCCTTCTGATATTTGGCTTCTCGGGGATTTTATGTATCTATTTGGTTACGTCCAACCCTCGCCTTCTGATTCGCTTGGCACGTGCTTCTTGGTAGCGGTGTTCATAGTTAATCTCAACTCGACGCCACGCTACAATTGGTAATCCCAATACGAATACAGTATCAACTCTAAAGGCGAAACAACAAGGACTTCAATGAACCTAATACTCACCGGAGAATTACAGAGTAATGGACTTATATCCTGTAAAATAAGTTAAAAAACACTATTTCGATTAAATTAGACTGCATAATAGTGATGCCGGTAGAAACTACTTTATTATTCATAAAGTGGGACCTCAACAAAAACAAATACTAGGAACTCTGAGTGGCATAGAAACTCAACATAGATTGCAAACCGAGAGCAGAGAGGTAAGCAAACGACCACTCTGGACATTTGCTTTAGTCATGTTACATTGGTACATGACGAAGGTATTGTAAGATAGCTTTAAAAATAATACAAACAGATTGATGACATTCATGCTGCCATATTTTTTAAACAACGTTAGTTTGAGTGTATAGTAAAACTGAAACAAGAACCCTACAGTCGAATACTAGTCTGAAGCCTTAAATAAATAGTATGAAACATTACAGTATATGAGATTAATGTCCTTCTATACATTGATGAAATGCCAGCTTTACCGATGTCACTTTCTCTGAACACTTGTAATTGGATTTGACCTTAACAAAAAATGACCCGTATAGTGATCAAATATTTTTCAGTGAGAATTAGTTTCTTAAACAATTTGTGCGACAACCATGGTTATTGGAATAATCCACCACAACAAGAATACCATCTATTTGTACATCACATTTAAACACAACATAAATAACACACTGGACATCTTTATGAACACGACTTCGACTTCAGATTGAATACAAAATGGTCTTTACATGAAATATTATCCCAAAAAGACATTTGAGAGAAGTTAAAATGAAGGACAAAGAGAGAAGTGGAGATCGCTGGACAATGGATTATTCATTCATACCTTAGTCAGCAAACTCTTTATCTCTTCCCAGTAAAAAGCATTATATTAGTCAGCTTATTTACTGATTGGTCGTTCGCATGAAAAAGAAAACACAGAACAGGAGAGAAAACGACTAAAAGTTTTTTCTGTTTGTACAAAATTAATTCACTAAGAAAAAAACATGATTTGATAATGATATGATTAACCGAAAGTTGTTACTAATACTAATAATAGTTTTATTAGTGTCGACAGTAATATCAGTAAAAGTAGTATCTTTGCTGAACATAACTTACACACAAGAAAAAGCAAAATTACGGGAAAAATGAATTTTAACTACATACCAACAAAAGACTTGCTTTTGTAATGTCAAGAGGGGAGAACAAGAGAGAGGGTGAATATAAAGAAAACTTTGAGTAAAGAGGAATACATGGAATACTAAAGGGAAATACTTTGAGAAAATACAAAAACGGCAAATTAATAAATCGGAATAATAATATCATACATCTTCAGATCTATTTATATTAGATGTGGAATAAGTATCCCTGCGTTTAGCACAAACCACTAAATTAGGTGTTTGTGTGATTGCACTTGGTCGAATGACAAAATAACGATTACTCGATAAAGTAGCCGTTGACAGAGAAGAGGATGAGGAAGAAGATAGTATTAAATTGGGACTAGTTTCATTCGTTTGAGAACTAATTGAATTTGCAAACAAAGTTCTAGCCTGTGGTTGGTTTAATTGTACATTACGTTGTATAACATAATTATTAAGTCTAGAATTGGAATGTAAAGAATATGATGAAATGGATGAGGGTACTGTGCTTGGACAAGTCTGTAAAGAATTAGGGACATAAAATGTATCTAACGAGTTATCAACACAATAATCTAACACCTGATTAGGAAGTCTTGAACTGAAAGTAGTTGATGAAGTAGGGTAAGTCGACGACAATCCAACATACGTGCATGGTATGTTTGGTGTTATCAAAGATGGGGAATAGACTAGTTGAGGATTTACAGAATTCAAAATATCCGCTTTTTCTTGTGATTCAAAAACCGTAGATGATGACGATGGTATTTTACAATTGAAAACATCTGTTGCAGAAGTCACTGGCTTAGTTTTACTAATAACCGTGGGTCTTGTTGATACATGTTCACTAGGATTAACTTTACCTCCGCCTAAAAGTCCAGAGATTGACTGAAATTGACCTTGTTGTTGATTCGGCTGTTGGTGTTGATAACGTAGATGTAACAAACTAGTGAGAGTAGGACCTAAACAAAATATACACAGAAAGAGAATAATGTATTAATCAAATACTATGATAAACACTTCATTAGTAACCCCGTATCATCATAGCATAATAGGAATCCCAGATTCATAAAAGACTAATATAAACTTACGATTATCCTATTATTGTCAAAATTATCACATAAAATCATATTGTGCAATGAGTAGATAATGAAACTGTTCACTTTCGAATGATATTGATGACATGAGCAGGTATCAAAGTTGACACAATATTAATAACCCAATAATTCACCAGGTATTTGGGTATAAGCCACACTTTAAGTATGGAAGCCAATCTTACTATAATTGTCGCTCAAATTGAAGTAGGTGGGGGAAAATTTGAACCTGCAACGCTCAGTGACGTAGTGGTTAAGCGCTCGCTCGCGAGACTGAAGGCATTGGTTTCGAATCTCTCGAGGCGAGGTCGTGCATGTGTACTGCTAAGGAGGCCCACAATAGGACGAAACGGTCGTCCAGTGCCTCCAGGTTTTCCATGGTAGTTTAACTTCAATTGATTCATGATCTCAACTATTAAGAAGTTATTATAATATCCACAAAACCCCTTCTGATATTAATCAACATGAATAATTGTTGATACAGTCAAACAATTATTACGTATTTAGACTTATCTCAAGTTATTTTGTATTTAAAATATTAATAAACCTTAATTTTGCTTAAAGTTCAAAACTTCGATTTGAAGAGTACAAATACAATAATATTGATCACTTCTATATATAGTGCGCATATATATATATATATATATATATATATATATGGTGCCCGCTTGTACCAATATTTATGTGTTCAAATAAATAATAGTGATTTGATTGAATTTAAAAGAAACTATCTACGCTATCATTTCAGCTTCATGAAAATGGTAATTAAAGAAAGAGTATGAAAATTGATGAGAATGTCCCATTTACAAAGTGTAACTCAACTGATTAAGCAATTCAGTTGAACTTTATCTGTTTATGTAATTTGTTAAGTTACTTAATGAAGCTTTTATTAACTGATTTTTTAGCATGCTCGAATACATTAACGATAAACGTAGTTATTATCAGGCTCTTTAAATGTCCAAAATCACACATATAAATCAACATTGTCAATAATATATATATATATATATAACACTGGTTCATAAAGGTCAATACATTTTGATTACCTGGCTTGAGTAAAAATCTATGGGATTGCTGAACACAAACGAAGAGCCTATTTAATTGTTTGTTACTAGAGCGCTCAGTCACACAAAGCTTAAAATATCCACCAAGAACGCTTCATTTACTAACGCATGTTGATAAACGGCTAATTTGTAAGTTAAAAACAATCGATTGAATGTGTACTTTTCGTTTAAATAAATCCTCTTAATAAACAATTCCCTAAATAGTATAAATTGGAAACATACTTTGTATTGTTAAAATGACTGTGCCTTCAAAATCGTATGAAATTTGCGAAACAATTTTTAAATAAAAATATATCATCTATTAAGCAAAGATAGATAGTGACTAGCAATGGAATCCAGGACGCGCGTTCCGTCCTGTTTGGAACTCGTTAGCTAGATGTATCTGAATCTCAGAGTTGATGTCCACTCTGAGACTCGAACCCAGTACCGTCCGCTTCAAATGTCATCGAATTATCCAATTAGCTATTTAGCCCTGACAGCTACTTGCTTGTAAATCACAGCAATATCGAGGCAATACGCACAGTATGCACATATACCAATAAGAGACTGATTAATTACATCCGTATACATCGATGGGAAAATTCGAGTAAACAATACCAAGTGAAATTATATCATCTATTATTCCATATCCATATGTCATTTGTTTGTCGATAGATCTTGCATTAAAATTCAATGAATACATTTCAATTTAATAAACATCGGATTATTTTATCAAAATTTATTGTTACATTCACATTAACCTTTATGTAAGACTCAAGTACCATTAAAAATACTCGCATACAATATATTCTGAAAAATATCTCTTTCAACTGCAATGTAAACGAGAGTAACAACAAATTTACTATAAATTATATTGCTATTTGACTCTGTCAGAAAAACTGCTTTGAAAAAATCTTATTTTTCCTTCTGTTTTGAATTAAACATTTAAACGATTACACATAGAATAAGGGGAAATGTATTTCTTAATATGATTACTAGTATTAACATATGAATTTAATATTTTATAAACCAGAGACGGCTCCCAAATGTCGAGAATGGAGAGTTTTCAATCTCCCTCTCGAAATGCTCTCACATAGCCACGCGTATATAGCCTCTGCTAGGGAAGTCCTACTCACTGCCTTCTCGTGGCGGGCGTGTTGGTTACGAAATTGAGAGGACGAAAAGCAAAACTCCGGCGCTTTACCTGGGTGAGTGGATACGGAGGATCCATCTAGGGGAGTTGGAAAACCCTGATTCCAAACCAATGGTACACATGGGCTTCATTATCCTGAAAAAACAAATGGAGTATGAATTAATTGTTGGTCACCGGCTACCATGGGACTGCATCTCCTTACGATGCTCCACTCCCTTGTGGATCAGACCTTCAGGTCAATGGCTTGGGGTGTGGCCCCCCAAGAAAGCCACCCGGGCAGTATTACAGCTCTCCTACACATCAAACGAGATTTGTGTGGCGCATATGTATCTGGTGCCCCCTTGTACCAATATTTATGTGTTCAAATGAGTAAATAATAAATAAATCGGAGACAGTTTAGATTTGCTGACAATTTGATAATCCCCATAAATCTATCATTTAAACAAAATTACTTAGAATTATACTGATATTTAGCAATAGATATCGAGTCAAAATTAGAATTTTTAAAAGAAAAAGTAGTATCTTAAGTAATCGAACAATTATTGTTACACTATAATTGCTTATTAAGAAGTTATGATTAAATTACTACAAAGCTAAGAACAATTATAGGTCACATAAAACTCATCAAATGAAAAGTCTAATATAATGAACATAATAAGTAATAGTAACTTACTGAATAATAATTAATATAAAGGGGTTAATGTGATCTGTATGATGAAACACTATGACATGAGTAAAAAGTTATCTATGTTAGACAATCAGTTATTCACCTGATAAATATATGATTTAGTTCAGATTGTCATAATAAGTTAGCAGAATGAAACGATGAAATTATCAAGCCAAAACTCATAGTAGTAGAAATAATAATAGTATCAGTAGAAAATATCAAATACAGAGAAAATAGGTATAAGAAGATTTCGAGATTCAAAATCCAAGGGAAAACATACACTGATTGCTTCTTCATTTTGGTAATCAATCTGAGCTAATAAAATAATTGAACTAGTCATTGTTAAAACACTTTATCATCTCATGTATGGTTTCATCTTATTTCCATTTCTCGCATATTCTGATTGTCTTTTATGAGATTTGTTGAGTTCTTTATTATTCTATAACGAATATTTACGACAATATACACTAAAGAACAATTTGTACAGGTTTTATGAGCTTTCCTCTTACATACTTACCAATATCTTGAAGGAATTAGCATTAATAAAATTTATCTATGGAGGGACTATTTGTAATATAAAGAGGAATTTCTAAGTAACTTAAACTGTTATGCAACTCAATAACCAATTACAGATATGTGAACTCGGATCTAACCTACATTTTGTGTGCCAGAAGTTAATATAACCAGAATGGAATTAGAACATACAACATAGTGGGTGAAAGTCTAATGTTTAAAATTTAGGTAAATTAACAATCAGGAAGTGATTAAATCGACTAAGAATATAAGATTTGTATTCCAGTAAGATAATAAGAAAAAAAATGACTGTAGAATACTGTTTAAGAAATTTAAACTATTTAAATGAACCTTTAAATAATAGTAACTAACTAATTTGAAATCAAAATCATAGTTTGAAATTAAATGATCTAGGTAACATTAAAGGAAACTAATAAATGAACTCTTATGAGGTAATCATCGGACATATAAATATAGTGCAGTAAAATGCATACTACTATTAATATCCATATAAGATGATAATAATGGTTAGTAATTTCGGCATTTTTTGTAATAATCATTGTGCTATACGACTTATACAGATTAACTGAAAATAATAATAATAATAATGAAAATAATTTATAATAAAAAAACCCGGTGAAATTCTAATTACATAACTGAAAATAATCAACAGAAAATTCTAGATATGATTGTTACAATTATTTAACAATTTTATGACGTCAATTCATATTTATCCGTTTTGAATCTCTTATATCATGAGAAAATATGCTGAAATGAAAAGTGTTAACAAATGAGAAACATTTCTAGTGGTATCTTAAAAATTTATTCTCTGCAAAATGGTATCCAAACAGCAAGCAGTTAGCCATTATGAATAACATAAAATATGGTTTGAATATGTGGCAGTTTAAATTGTAACAATTCAAACACCAACACAGGTAGAGAGGAAATCAACAGGATACACTGATATTGATTGTAACAGAAATATTAAATGAAGAATTATAGATGATATTAAGCTGAAAATTTAACACAAAACAAGAAATCGATGAAACAGTGCTTTCAAGCCATCGTTTTTAGCTAAATCATCCAACATCTAAATTGAAGGGTTAACTCATACACCTAATTAATTGAATTACTTTACTTAGTTTATGAGATTTCACTAACTACAATGATCAAAGGTTAATAAGTATAATTTGTCAATTTATATTATTCAAAGGAAATATCAAAAACCTATCAATGTCAATAACATAAGAAATGATTTTCACATCTAGTCGATACAGTAGGAAGAGATATATGAAACGAAAACCATTGGGGAATATGTAAACTTGATGACTGCTGTACAAAGAGTTGCCAACCATATTCTATAACATATATATATATATATATATATATATATATATATATATATATAACGCGATACAGTATACAGTATTTAACCATGAAAGTCTGAGAATACAGATTCACCTGAGAAATCCCTGGGAGAAAGAAAAAGGCATAATGGACCTAATTTTTACCCATTATCAGCAAAAACTAACAAAATAAATTAACTACATGTTTGAATATTCTACTTAACAAAATGTGAAACAAAACGGTTTTTTAAAAAACAAAACAATCTAGAGCTAAATCATTTCTATGAAGGGTAAAAAGTTCAGCATAAAAACAAACCTTGAACATTAGTAGAACCTGAAGATCGAAATGATGTTCGAGCTGTTTTCCTACTTCTTCCAGTAATGGATTTTTCACGCATATCATTGACAACAACTCGACTCTGAAACGAATAAAATTGGAATAGGTTTTAACGTAAACAATTAAAGAGCAATATTCTCAAAGATTGAATAATGAAATTAAATAAAATCATTTTAATCAAAACTTTTTACTATAAAATATTAAATAAATAATTAAGACAACAATAAAAAGTTGAGCGATTATTTAAACGAAGACGACTGTCCATAAATCGACACAATAGACTAAGTAATAAAATTTCAGGTTAGAAAAAAATGAACAGAAACTTAGTTTAACGATATTTCGCATCACTTGTATACAACGATACAAACTATTTAAAGTAATTAAATTAGTGCAGCATTTCCTGTAAGATAATTAGGGGGGATATTATTATATATTCTGAAACTTTGTTTAGTCACCAAGCACAAGTTAGGCAAATAAAGAGTAAACGATGGAAACATTTTAAACCAGTTCAATAGGTCAAATTATCATATTTCCAAATGACAACAGTAAAAGAGACTGAACAAGATAATAAGTGGCATAACAAACAATATTGTCCTGTTTATTGAACAATGGGATCACAACGATTCCATAAGCACTTAACGTGATATACGTTATCAAATATCCATCAAGTCATTGTGACTTACAAAGAATATTTCAAACAGCAAACTATTAAGGTTGATCTAAACCATAAATCTGAAAGCTTCACTGTCTATTTCTAATCGAAATAAATCCTGATGTAGTATAGTCAAATAACATCACTTCTAAGTCGGCAATTATTAGTAGAGTTGTGTAGCGACTTGAGATAATGAAAAACATGTGTGCATAGAAGACAACATCTACACTTATAGATCAAAATTAAACAAATCTACTTTCTATAAAAAGTTAAAACGAGATTTATATGCGAAAAACTAATTAAATTATGTACACTTGAAAGATCAGAGCGAAAACGTAAACTGAGATGTATTAAGATAATAATAAATGAAGTTTATAACATGTACAAAATATATTCACTATAATCAATTCTGAACATGCCAACGTTAGATATAAATAGGATGGCGGTTGTTCAGTAATAAAAGTGCTTAGCATCCAACCAAGAAGTTGCAAGTTTGGACCTCACTCTACTTACGTCAGTTTGGGTGACCCAATAGTTTTATTAACTCGGATACAACTTGGGTAGCTCAGTCGAATACACTAAACATACATTTGATAAGTGACTTAAATGAACATTAAAAAAACAAATAAAAAAGGTACAAGTTTATGTGCTTAGCTCTAGGTCACACTCCTAGTATGAAATCTAGACTTGACTGTTTAAACCGCAGTTGGAAATGGATCTGAAACTTCATCCTAACGGCTATCAAACTAAATACTATAATTATGAGCCAACACTACTGAATACTCTACTAAACAGATATATTGATAAATAACAACTTTATTCTGAGTTATATATAATCTACTAACAATAGTTTTATAAATATATCTGTAAAATAGTTAAATGTATACAGGAATATCACTATGTTATCTTTTGAAAAATTAACTGTTATAAAAATACCAAGTTTTTTGCTACTTATAATTATTTTCTAAAATATAATTTATGAAGTGAATTATAATTTCAGTAGCTCACTATCATAGCATAATTGTATTTTATGTTACGAGTATAAATAATGGCTGGTCAGTGTTGATCAACCGTGTCAGGTCTGAGGCAGTTACCCACCGAAGACAATGAAAGATGGTCGTACAATATCGTGGATGGGTTGAAGTAAGACATGAACACGGTTAGATGCCAGTTAGCTGGTCTAGATGTTAAGAGTTAGCGCGCCAAACCGAAGGTCCTGGGTTGGAGTCCGACGTGCAGGATCGTCGATGCACACTAAGACAAAACGGTCGTTCAGTGCTTTCAAGTTTTCAATGGTGGGTTGACATTGATCGGTTCAATTTAAAAACTTATCAGGATAATTGTTTGATAAGTCATTAAATTCTAGAGTTAATTATTTAAATAGTATTCACTGCTGTAATTAAGTGGAAATCCAAACGACATATAAATAGATTTGTCATATCTTTTACATTAAAAAAAGGATTAAACTTCTTTTTAATTTAACAACCTTTTATTCTAAATTGAACTAATGAAATTTTAATTGTAAATACATTTTTAAAAATAGCTGGTAATATGATTTAGTCAAAAGTTCAACTTGAATATCTTAAATACGAAAACAAACAAACTTAAATTACCTGACTTTCTTGTAATTTGCGAGTGTTTAATGACAAGTGTGGGAACAGAGTAGTAGTAGTTGTTGTTGTTGTAGAAGTAGTAATAGGACCAAAATTAGGGGGTGTTTCTTCAACAAACGGAACATGTACTTTTCGAGGTAAATTTATTTCATGGGAAGGATCATCAAAATGTTCTTCTGAGCATAAATCTTCACTAGTGATAAGATTATCCAAATTGATGGTTGTATCGGCAGAACCTTCAATGGGATAACGGCTCAGTCGATTAGCCCAAGGTTGTGCAGGTTGACAGGTAGACAGACAATGACTTTGAGCAGCATACTGAGGTTCATTTATCAATCTGGCATTCGAATAAGAGGTTGATGAATAACCAGATGTTTGTTTACGATTAGGATACATAACTATATTGGGTGTGTTGGATTCACTAAAATATTCTCCCGTTTGTGTTGTTCCTGATCCCATTGGATTAAATTGAAAGTGATGCATATCAAGAGTGGAGTTGATAGATGCGATTTGAGGTGAGTAAGACAAAAAAGATTCTGTTTGTGGTCTGATATCAATAGCACATGGCTGGGCGATGACAACTGTTTTATTTCGTTGATGTAATCTAGCCGTCAGTTTGTTTGATACATATCTCAAATCTATAGGACCATTTGAGTTAAGTGAGTTGGGATATATTTGACACCGACCTTGTGTATCATATGCAGAAAGCGTTGTATTATGACGCAATAGCTGTGAATGATTTGGAACTCGAGGTGTTTGATAAGATAACACTCCTGGAGTTTCACAGAAACTTTCATTACTACTAACATCATCAGTGAGGTCAATGACTGCATTAGGCGAACCAGAGGTTTGTACAGTCCATGGAAATTGTTGACAGGGAGTGTTTGGTACTTGTCTGGAAAAGTAAAAAAATCAAATAAATATCAGGTGTTTTCTAAGAAAAATTCAATTAGTAAAAGTCTGAACAAAAGTTTTCAATAAACACAACAGATCAAAAATTGACTGTAACTAACTATTGTGTACAAACCAACGACAATGAACTTACAATGAGAAAGTCATTATTTAGACAAATCATCAAAAAATTCCACCTCGACAATAGTCGACAACAAAAGTACGCTTTAAACCAAAACACGATAGACAATAATTACTGATTACTCATTTACTGTAATTATTTTATGCTCAAAAATATATTGGTTTCTCTCTTATTATAAATTATAAACAATTGAGAGAAATTGATATATTATATTTAGTACAGTATGGGAAGATGGACAGAGTAAATTTTTCATCGGACTTCTAGTTTTGTATAAACATCTACTGTACAGAAAATGTTTATTCTCAGACGCAGCGATTCAGTTAGATAAATGACTAATTTCTAGATTTAATAAGAGTGAAAAGAAATATTTTTGGGCAATGATTTACATTACCTTAATAGTCAATGGATGGCATCGAAAGAGATTATCTCATATATAATATTTAACACTGTAAACTCGATAAGGATACAACAAACTACATAAGTGAACAATATTGTTTTCGATTAGATCCTCACCAGGCTTTAATATACAGTAATATTTATATGCATCTACGAAATTATTAAACCAATCAAGACAGTCAATGCTTCAGTGATAACAGTGGAATAGATTACATAAATAAATGTAATAATAAAAGTACGAATTGATAGTGTGATGACAGATGTACTAGTTGTGATAAGAATAACAAAGGCTTAAATCAATGTGTCAACGTTCATTTAGTCTTTAGTAACATATTATAAACAAATTGATGGAATAGCAATGGATTCACGTCTAGGTCCTATCCATGTTGATTTTTTTCCCTCGAAACTAGAAAACGGACCTCTCAAAAGGGTTACGGATAAGTTTGACTTTATTGCCATTATATTGATGGTACTTCCATTATTGTCGATCACAACATTGGAAAAGAATAACTCTTAGAGCTAATTGACAACAAAGACTCAGTTATCAGATTTACATGTGAAGAGAAACTTGATAACAAACTACATTTCCTCGACGTTTTGTTATTTATTCATTTAAAGATTAATTTAAACACATAAAGATCGATACAAGGAGGCACCAAATGTATGTATGCGCCACATAAATCATTCGGTTTGTGTGAGGGCTGGAGTACTGTTCAAATACCCAAACCGAAACAGGTGGTTTTCTTAGGTCACAGCCGGAGCCTTCGGCCTAGAGGTCTGATCAACAAGGCAGTGGAGCATCGTATGGTGATGCAGTCCCATGGAAGCCGGTGACCAACAATTGGTCCATACGCCATTTGTTCCCTCACGATTCCGGAACCCATGTGTACCATTGGTTTGGAATCAGGGTTTTTCATCTCCTCTAGATGGACCCTCTATATCCACCAACGACGTTTTGTTAGGCAGAAAACAAAAAGGTCCTATCAGTAGACGTATGTATGGGTAAAGTTCTTCAGACAGCCATTATACACATTTCTTGAGCTTTGTATCTATTCATTACAAGAGAAACCTAGTTGGACGTCTTGCAAATAGAGCTAAGAAGATGTACCCAGACGACGCGATGAACAAAGAACTAGAGCTTATTCATATGCTGGTTGAAATGGGTTGTCCAAAAAGTTTCTGAAGACATTAATTTAATGTACAAGAAAATAGCGACACTAACAGCTAGTAAGAAACCTCATTTTCTGGCGCAGTAATTCAACGGAGATATAGCTGGCGTTGTGCTACGGGATAAACAGACTCGAGTAATGGAGAGAAACCTTAGTGCGCCTAATCTCTGTCTATTGTTCTCGACCCGATCTATGGTGATTCCTCAACTAAAGGATAAGTTACCTGGTTCTGTTACATCAATCCGTATCTATGAATTCAGCTGCTCCTGTGGAGAAAGCTATATTGGCCGCACAACCAGACAACTAAGCCAAGTTAGTGAACACATCCTTTGGTGGTTTTCCCTCAAATACCCTGGCACGGCCGAGGGTAGGGAGAGTCGGCTCTCCCTCACGAAATGCTCTCACATGGCTACATGTATACAGCCACTGCCAGGGAAGTTCTACTCACTATCTGCTCGCGGCATTACTTTTGTTTACGGAATTGAGAGGATGAAAAGCGAATGTCCGGCGATTTAACCAGGTCGGTGTACACGGAGAGTCCACGTGTGGGAGTTGGAAAACCCAGGTTCCAAAGCACATGAGCTCCAGGATCTTAAGGGAACAAACCTATTGTTGGTCACCGGCTATCATGGGACTGCATCTTCTAATGTTTCTCCACTGTCTTGTGAATCAGACCATTAGATCGAAGGCTCCGAGTGTGACCTTCTAAGAAGACAATCTGCTTCGGTTTGTGAAACCGGGCAATATATTATCATAGCCCACAAACAAATCAAGTGACTTGTGTGGCGCATATGTATTCAGTGCCCCTTTGTATCAATATTTATCTGTTCAAATAGATAAATATCCTTTCGTGATAGGTAAAGAGTATCATCAAAGCAATATATAGCTCTGTTCTATTACATTTGATCGATAGCGGTCATGCAGCAGATAGAAATAGGTCGTTTAAAGCGATATATGTTATTCGTACTAGTATTCTTTATGGGGTTCAATCTCGTCTCTTACACATAGCAGGAGCTATGAGAATTCGGGCTAACAATCCAAGTCTTTGTGTTCATAAGAAATTTGTAGCACCTTTATCACAACCTTGACCGAAACAGTCTTAATAAAAAATTTTATTATTATTTACCATATTCTTTGTTTAATTTTCTCTACATTTTTTCTTCCAAATATACGTTTCATTGTCAAACCATATGAACACTTCTTATTACGTAATCTTATGGTTTTTATGAATGTTATTTCAGCATCTAGATTTTCAAATCATCGACCTATTTCACATTATGAAACATTGATTTAAGCCTTTGTTATTCTTATCACAACTAGTACATCTGTCATCACACTATCAATTCGTACTTTTATTATTACATTTATTTATGTAATCTATTCCACTGTTATCACTGAAGCATTGACTGTCTTGATTGGTTTAATAATTTCGTAGATGCATATAAATATTACTGTATATTAAAGCCTGGTGAGGATCTAATCGGAAACAATATTGTTCACTTATGTATGTTGTTCTAATTCACAATATGGAGTTTTAGGACTAAGGAGAAAATGCGTCTCCATAATTGATGAATATTGACTGATATGATGTTAGAAAAAATTTCAACTAACCTTAAGATTTGTTGTTTTTTCCTTGCTTCTCGCATAAGATAACGTAAATCATGTTGGCGGGGGACCCTACGTTTCTCCTCAATTGTATGTACCTGGAGGAAAATATTTATATGAATTATGTGATAACCGATAGGTAATATCCAATTTGTTTTACTAACTGGTAGCTATTAGTTACTTCCATTTAACAATATGCTACGGTAAAAATTTACAAATCAATTTTGTATGTAAAATAGATTCCTATCTGAACGTTGCACAAGTGAAATGCCATAAAGTTCACAGCTGACAGAAGTAAACTCGTAAAAATAAGCATTACACGTAAAAGTCTTTCTATTCCAATGATAAAGCAGTCGAAACTAAGTTGAAAGATAAGCATGATGGAAAACAAAACGATATGCTATGTTAATAGATAGAATGTTAACTTTAGAATTAGAAGACAAACTTGGAATTTTGATTATGACAAAAGTCAGTAATTTATTGTAAACTAAAAGTTAAAAAATACAGGTATTTATGATTGACCAAATTATAGTTGATTAAGAAGTTAAGGCCTGAAATCTATTAGCTAGTGAACAAGCATATTAATCATGAAGCCCCGGCCACTTCTTGAAAAAAAAAAGTTTGATAATATTCAGTAAATTAAATATATTTATGATATATGGACTTTGTTTTAATTAAATCATGAAATATACACTTTATTTATTCAGGTCTAAGTTAATTTGTATGACGGCTAGTGATTATATAGATACTTGGTTTTGAGCCACACTTTAAATGTGAGGGTTAGTGGTATAATTTGGTTGTCACAATAGGATTGCGGAGATTGTTGAATTTCACTGAAATCGTGAACTCATCGATGGTTCACCTCCACAACCTCGCAGTCCCATACCAGGACAAAACGGTTGTCCAGTGCTCCCAGGTTTTCAATAGTAGTCTAACTTAGATCGATTCATGGTTCCAACGAAATACTATTTGGTTTCCCAAAATGAAGTAGGTGGATCATGGTTGAAACCTATAACCTAATGTCTGAAAGTTGAATTACCTAGCTATTGAGCCACCATACATGAAATAAACAGTCAATTTACGTTTTCTAGGAACATTCCAGTAACACGCTAGAATGGAATGTGAGAAAAGATCAATAGAAAAAAGCACATAACGACTTAGTGAATACAAATTGTACAACAAAGTTTTTCAGTTGTATCTAGTAAACGTAAGCACAATTAATATGAATAGTTGTTAGATGAAAAGATTGAATTTTGGCATTTTTTAAAAATTACGTACAAACTTTTTTACTTTATTACTACAAAAGTGTTTATTTTCCTTTAAGAATTGAGAAAAATTTGAGATGACAAAACTAAGTTTCATTAGATTTGTAGACAACGCATAATTAAACAAAAAGTACTACGGTAAGTATATTTACTAGGTCGGAGCAATTACGATTTGGAAGTTATAAATTCTTCTAATAGTACACTACAGTAACACTGGACGTACAAAATGTTTATTCTAAAGGCAACTGATTAATAACGGGCATTCTGAAATGATACAGATTAAAGTGCTTTTGGATTACGGGTGTGTGGTTGCATTCATTGTAATATTATCTTGTATTTACAGATCATTAATTAATTAATTCATTTATGGATAATACTCTAGAGCATATTACTGTTGTACTAGTCATCTCCTCCGGCGGGAATTATCTGTTACTGCAACATAAAATCTATTTTTAAAAAAACTAATCGTTCTTAATATGATAAATGTATAGCCGAAGGCTGAAATCGATAGGAATTTTCTATTTAAGATTAATAAAAATTGTGAATAACAGAAATTGCTAGAACTACTTCAAAATTCATCAACATTCAACTACATTTTTTTAAATCCGAACATTAGCATAACCTTCACTATAATTAACAATATTGCGCTTATCAATCTTTTATTCATATCAGTAAATTAAAAACATTTGTAATCTGGCAATTTTAATCTAAATAACAAAGGAGTAATTTTGTAATAGTACTCGTCATACTGACATAATGAAACATCTTTTCCAATTAATCTATTATTATTTATTTGAACACATGAACATTGGTACAACGGGACACCAAAATATGTATGCACCACACAATAATGTTATCAAGAGACAAAGGAAGGGAAGTGAGTATAATGAAAAAGAACACAATCGAATATAAATTAGTGTGAGTGAAATAATAATAATAATAATAATAATAATAGGGGAAACAGTTCAGTTAGCTGGTGGTTTGAGGCAGTCGACAGGAGACCCGAGACCTAGATTTCGTGCTATTTAGCACTCAACAGCAAGGCGTACTTGTAATCTTGAGGGAACTGATGTTCCCTGACGGATTCGATCTCGTGTCACCCAGCTTCAGTCAGAGACGTTATGACTGAGCTATCCGGGCCGCGACTAACCTCCTGTAGGACTGGGATGCATTTACAGTTGATTGATTAACCACCATCTTAGCATAGTGCACGCAATGTCGAGTCACCTATACTAGTGAAAACATTGCAACTTGGTCGACAGGATTCGCTCTGCACTAAGAAGGATTTGACATACATGACATTGATCACCACTCAGTAATCAATCAATTGTAAAAGTTCAGTTAGCAAAAGTATAACCAGAAAAAGTCTTTCAGTTATAGAAGTTACTCCTTCTGTTATGAAAAAAGCAAAAAAAATTAACCGCAGGATCACTACTTGTCTCCACTCTGATCGATGTCTGATGTCTCAAGCCACTGTGTTGCACCATTTCTAGGACCCCAATCGTAGAGTTGTGAATGACCGAATAAACCAGACCTGCATAGCTTCCTTTCATGCCACGACACTATGTCATAAACTGATTATTTTTACGCTTTCTTCAACCATTCCTAGCTTCGGCATATAATACACGACGTGGGATTCACGGGGCCGACATTCGTAGGACACGTCCAAGCCACTGAAGTTGGTGTTTCAAGATGATGACAGCAACTGAATTATTATCGCTGCGCCCGAACACACGATGCCGAACCTCAGCATTACTGACCTGGTATTGCTACTGAATATCACCAATCCTTCGGAAGCAACGACGATCAAACACAGAGAGTCACTTAACATCCTCGACTAAGAGAGTTCAGGTTTCACAAGCACAGATCAAACTGCTCTCACCAACGCTTTATAGATCCAAACTGTGAGATTGGGCAACCCTTACTAACCTCAATGCTTGAATGAAACAATGGGGAGGGGTTGTTGTATGCCTCACTTTGCCTGAGATGTCTTTATATAGGGCTTTCGAGATGTTGATAACCTTCTCAAACACACCTTTTTACAATAGGTAACCAAAGAGAAAAGCACTGTCCAACGAATTGAAGGAGACTCAGATATCAAGAACACCATGATCGTTGGCCTGCAATAAGTATGACGGTTTTCTAACATTTGAAGGAGGGTGAAGATATGATCAATACATATTAATGATTGGCATTTATCAGCTTCACAGATCCACGCGAATTCGGTCTTGTGATTCGGTTGAAGTGTGAATCATACATATCTACAAATTTTAGCATAAAACTCGTTCCACAAAACCACTACACTTAGTAAGATTATCAAAATAAAGTGACCTGGTCGAACATCCGAGGGACCATTTTTCCAATGGTACATTGACTCCCACAAACTATTTTGGTTTAGATTCGTTCTAGTTTATTATTTCTGCTAATCACATATAATTACGTCTCATAAAACTCTTACAACTTACCAAGAATTTAATTGCAAAGAAAACTCAAGAAGCACAAACACGTAATTCCTATACTTTCCTTCTACTTATCCTGGCTCTTGGAGAAACTAGAAGCGATCATTTTAAAATTTATGTATTAAGTATACTCAAAAATGAGGATTCATGAGAGCGACACTGATCGTAAGCATTTATAGATGAATATGGATGGCCACTAATGATCGTTTAATGACTTTTCATACATACTTTTGAGTATTTAAAAGTTAAATGAGGGAGTTTTATTGTGAAGTTGCATGTTTTATGCTGAGAATTCTTTACCGTAATTGAACATATGGTGTTGAACAAACCAGCATTATAATCAATGATTAAATACTACAGAAAAACATTAATTTGAGTATCATATATCCACCAATCAAAAAAATATATTCTACAAGAACAAATCTTAGAACATTATTTAGCAGTAGGCAATATGTTGTACACTTATTGTTTAATTCAAAAAGAACTAAAATAGCATATTTCATGAAAAACTAACACATAAAAGCTGTGCAGTCATTTTGGTGTTAAAAACCTAGTTATTGAAAGATATTTTCATGAAACCGATCTGGACGAAAGAGCTTTAAAGAAGTTCATTGAGACAAAAGATTATAAAAACCGGAGAGAAACCAAAAAACTGAATTCAATGGAAAATCACTCACAACAAATGAGATGTATCATTCAAACTTCAACTAATTACACATAGAAAAATTTAATGCATAAACCCAACAAACTATCTCAACTCGAACAGGAACGGATTGACACAGAAATAACGAGGAAGTCGAAGGTATATTAAAGATTACTGAAACAAGATATCAAAGGATTTTTTATTTTTTTTAGAGGAACACTCTGAGATAACAACCCATAAATGGTCACCGGCTTCCATGGGACTGCATTTCCATACGATGCTCCACTGCCTTGTGGATCAGACCTTCAGATCGAAGGCTCGGGGAGTGGCCCCCTAAGAAAACCACCTGCTTCGGTTTGGGCACCCGATCAGTATCACAGCCCTCATACATATCGAATGAGATTTGTGTGGCGCATATGTATTTGATGCCTCTTTGTACCAATATCTATGTGTTGAAATAAATAAATAAAATAAATAACCCTTAAAACCTATTTAGTACATTGTAGAATAACTACACACTGTATGACGAGATAAATTCATATTTTCTTAAGTCATATAGAGGAACAAAGATTTAGTATCTATCTATTTTAAATATTATATCGCAGACCATAGTCAAATAAGCAAGAAACGTCCTCCTGGAGGAAAAGATCGGATAAGTGGTTGGAAAACGATTATTAGTTCATTATGGTATTAATATTGACATTCTAGTAAAATTAGTAAAAGATGCATAGTGTTGAAAATCTCAATCGGCAAATAAGCAAAACAGAAGATAAGTAGAATCAACTCAAATCGATAGATGAAATAAAAACTTACCGTACATAAAATAGAATTTCTACACCTGATATCATCCATTTCCAAGCAGCCACACTGAGTAAGAGGATCAAATGTATCCTCTGAAAAAAAGGCAAAAATAAATTGGATCCTGTAGTAAATTAACATCAACCAAAAACTTTTGTTCAGATCGATAAACACAATATCAACTCATATAACCCGGTTCTCTTAGTAATAACCCACCTAAAATAGTTTCACAAAAATCAAGTGCATTTATACCAATCATCTCAATAGCACGGAAGTTATGCTGACAAGTTTTTTGTTATTATTGTCATTATATAAGTTATTCAGTGAAGAATAAGCGCATTAAAATAAAATGATGGCTTCTAACTTGCAAGAGCAGAATCGGATGAAAAATGTTGTGCAGCCATTATTAAACATCTCTTTCAGAATTTCGGTAATACAAAATGCTGAAATCAACAAGTAACGATTTTGTAGTTCATCATATTTTAATCTAACCAGTTAATCATATTTCAAATGGTCCATAGCCAAAACTGTAAAGAGTGTACTTTAGAAATTTTATTTGACATATATTGGATTCTTAGGCTTCTATCCCACTACTATAATCAACACTAAAAACATATGTTACGAACAAAAGAGACAGAAATATTTGTTTAGGATTGACAAGTCTAATTTTCCAGTAATCGTTTTAGTTACTATTTCTTTTTTTGACTGTAATAAAATGATTTGACACTGTCAATAGTATATATATATATATATATATATATATATATATATATATATATATATATCGAGAGAGAGGATGGCGGTCATGAATACTATAGTAATCTACTAGAGTAGATCCGGCAGTTTACACGGTTTTTTAGTTGTGCTACTGATTCCTGATTGCACAACAACATAAGGACTAAATATCAGTCGACCAAAAGCACGAAGATCTGATATAAATGAGGATCAGCCCAAGTGTCCACAACTCCCTTAGTATAGTAGAAGTATCAGTTAGCAAGGGTGACGATGGAAAAATGTGCGTACATATAAGTACCAATGTTAATGGAGATTAACATAAGAATTTATAAGATTCGGTGGTAAATAAGAAAATGAAACTGCACTAATGAGATCTATTTCGAGTCATATCACGATAGAATCCCATTTCCTTTCCACGTTTAAACTTAGACCATTCTGGAATAAACATTCTATACTTAGAAAAAAAATGTATCCAACACATCGCCAATTAAGGCATACTTTACTTCGATAAGATATCAGTTCCTACATTCGTGAGTAGGCCCTAGTATTCCCTGCTTATCCCCACGTTGCTCCATAAGTTGAGAGCCGGAAAATTACAGAACTGTTGATCGGACATGATAACCATAAAGGCACAGCTAATGGTTATCATAAAATGTGATCAGCGATTGTGACGAATTCCGTGGTAATACATCCACCTCTCAAAGTGATATTTTGGTCCCACTGTAATGACCGAACCATTATACATAACAACCTCTAGAATCGACTCATAATGACCCATTGAGAGGTCGATGCTAATTTCATTAAAGTTGTTGGTAAGTAGTGAGTAACTTGACATCAGCCATAGCCTAAATGAATTGCTCACTATAATCTTCCATCAACTGTTTCAATAGTCAAAGTTGAAAGTAAATTATTTGTCAGTATTTCTAGCAAATGTGCAGAGATAGATCGAAAAAAATTTCGAGAAATCATAGATATATGGTAATTATATGAAAAGTCCATTTACAATATTTTATCTAGAAGTACCCATTGAACTGATTTTGTGTAGTGTAAATAGACAAAAATTTGCAGAACACTATAGTAAACAAAGCAAACAGTTAAATCTACCTAGCTCTTCCAAGAATTCTTGCAATTCGCCAGCACTCCTAGCCATATTGCTAGAGGGACCAGAAATTATAGATTCTGGAGGCCAGTTAATCCGAGATGAACTATCATTCACCACGTCTAGTTTTGAGGACTTTTCTGGTTGTATTAAAATATTTGGTTGGACAAATCGATTAGTGTCACTCGAAGTAGAAGCTTCGTTCCCTTCCAAGTTTTCTGTTTGATAATATTGTGAGATGAACGAAGGTGCTAAATGCACACTCTTTATCTGTCTAGGGGCTTGTTGCAATAGAATTGTTTGATTTCTTGGGGTTGATAGCCGCTGAAATGCCAATAAACGTCTAACATTATCGGCTTTGTGTGTGGCATCTGATGACGTCGGTCGTTCACCAGAAATCCAGCTATGGAAACCATTCCGCCTCAACTCACTACTAATTAATTTGCCATCGAATTCTAGACGATTGTTTTTAAGATGATATACAGTTGACTCTACTTCCCTACTGGAATGCACTTTAGCCAATGCCTCACCCGAGATCATCGGTTGAGAGGAAGTGGAACATAGAGGGACGTTGTTCCGAAGGCAAACCGTCGAGAGCTTGCACTTAACTTTGCATTTGGCAGTTGACTTTATGTCTGATAAAGGAAGTGAAGTGACTGCTTTTGTACTATTTACATTGAAAATTGTTGTTGGAATAGTAATGCTAGAATCAGTATTGTGCTGATCAGAAATACCGATTCCACTGCTAGAACTAGAGTGGGATGAGCGTGAAACAGGTCGGTTTGCAACTTCAGGCCGGAACTGGTTGAAACCAAATGTCGTGTCATCAGAAACATTTGATGGACTAGAACTTGGAAGATGTGGAGACAATGAAGGTGTCGGGGGATATGATGAACAGCGAAAAACTGAATGTGCTTGAGATCCGATGCCAGAATCATTAGAATGATTAAAACTTGATCGGCACTCAAACATATCTTTCCCCAGGTGTCGACTTTCCTCAACCTGACCTTTGGAGGTGAGTTCATAAAAATTACCAGCAGAATGCTCTCTTGGACAAACAACCGACCACACAGATCGCTCATTGAGTTTACTTTCTGCAGGTGTCCTTAAAGGCTTTCTGGACACTTCCTCACTTTGAGATATTCTTCCATCTGATTTTGCTAATTTCAACAAAACTGGTTCTCTAAGTTCCTCATGACTGGTCTTTTCTACTTCTCGACTTGTGATAACTGTTTTCGATATGTCCATTTTAATTGAATAAGGCGAGGCATCTGAGGGGTTAGGTGTGTTGCGTTTAGAACGCTTGAGAGGCGCGACCTTAGTACGTTTGGAAGTCCGATCCTTTTTGGAATCAATTTCAGCCTGACATTCACACCAAGAAACAGCTTCGTATGGCAAGACAGCAGAACCGACAGACTTTGGGGGTTCTGAGTGCCGGTCGTCTAGTAATAAAAATTACCATACAATTTAAATAAAATAAACAAACCATAATGCAAAGAAATGCTCTCCGGAAGAAGCATAACATTGCATAATTCACACTTTATGAGATAGTCAATAGAGGAAAACTGACTTTTGAGAAAAGGAAAGTCTGTATAGGAGTGTTTTCTCTGCAAAATAAACTTACTGCTAAGCTTTATATTGTTAAAACAGTCAGAGGATTCATCTACAAATCAAGCTTATAATTATTACACAAACTGACTAATATTATCGACTGTCTGGTCGAAAATAAAATCTTCCCATGGATTTTTGAAATCTATATCTTGAAATAGTTTTCAATAACTTTTACCCATTATATGAGCCAGTATGTACAAATATCTTCAGAAATAATGTATATTAATTAACACTCAGTTAGTACAAAAAACACATTTTCAGAAGCTCTAGTTGAGTGAAACGAGAATTCTTTCTTCATTCAATCTGAATTCTAAAATATTCTGTTTCACTACAAATACTACTAACCGTGAAAGACCAAGTGGAAAACAGCTGAGCGAAGTACATTCATATGCAACTAGTTTCATTGTGCGCGCTACCACTTATCAGCGCCAAACAAAATGTGGAATTAAGTTGCTTCGAGAACTAGGAGTTAGTATTGCGTAAAACGATATAAAATAAATTAGACTACAAGGAATCGAAAAAAAGAAGATTTGCGTTTCTCTTTCCTGATTTTATCGTTCAGTCGACTCTCACGGACTGGGGTTGTTATAATGGTTCAAATTCAAATGGCTCAAATAGTTGTGGACGGAATAGAAGAAGCTTTCGCTTAACAGGCTTCCGTGTCTAGTAGCAGGGGATCACCAAATCCTCCAGGCAGGAACCTAGGTATGTTAACAATAAAAGAGGAAAAGAAATTGGTAAATCATAGTGTGATGCTGTCCTTGGTCCTTAAGAATAGGTCAAGTTGCCTCTTGAAGGACTACTGGGAAGTCGCTTGGACTAGCTCGGCAGGCAGCGAATTCCAGCTTTTGACAACTCCTAAAGAGTAGAAGTTGTGTCTACATTCCGTTTTGCTATGTTGTGTCTCCAGGTTCTGGGTGCTACCCCTTAGGTTATTGTTCGAACTAAGCTTGAGTAGGTGTTTAAGAGGATGCCCAGAAGTGTTATTAATACTATAAGCCATTAATAAATCACCTCTAAGACGCCTATACTCCAATGGGTAAAGGTCTAGTGAATGGAGGCGCTCTTCGTAAGGTTTAAATTTGAGTCCTCGAACTAATTTCGTGGCTCGCCGTTGGATACGCTCCAAAGTGACCCTCTCATTTTGGAGTGAGGGGGGGGAGTACTGTGTTTCCGTACTCTAAATGGAGACGGATGAAACTATTGAAGATTGTATGGAAAGTTCGTCCATCAAACTGGCCAAAAATGCGCTTTAACGTTACCAGTGCAAGGTTTGCTCGGAAGGCATTTTTGTCACAGTTAGCGTAGGACTTCAATTCATGGGGCACCAGGACTCCTAAATCTTTTTCGACTTTGGATACTACTAGAGAGGAGTTTCCTAAGTTGTAACTGTAGTTTGCGACATGTCGCAGATGGACTACTTTACACTTTGAAGTGTTAAAGGTAAGTCCGTTATCGTCTGCCCAACTTTGAAGTCGCGTCAGACCCTCATGAAATGCCTGTATATCGTCTTGGTTGCGTAACTCTCCAAAGTTTCACGTCGTCGACAAAAAGTAATAAGTCTGACGTTGCCTGTTGAGGAAGATCATTTATGTAGATCAAGAAGAGAAGAGGTCATAGTACTAAGCCCTGGGGGACCCCACTAGGACATTCCATAGCCTGAGATAAAGTGAAATTAACCCTAACCTTAAAGTGTCGATTTTTCAGGTATGAAGTAAGCCAATCGATTAGAGGTGGTTTGATACCTAGTCGTTTGAGCTTATTGATAAGACACAAGTGGATAACCTTATCAAAAGCTTTTGAGAAATCTAGGTAGATGATATCAACCTTTCCCTTGCGATCGAGAATGCTTGTCCATCTGTCCACCGCAGTCAGCAGGTTGGTTATACAAGAGTAACCCTTCCTGAAACCATGCTGTTGGGGTGAGAAGAAATTTAAGGACAGTAGATAGTCGTTTAAACCGTCGCATATCAGAGACTCCATGAGTTTTGAAGGTAATGACATGATATGATTAACTTTTCTCTCAGATTTATTTCTTACATACTTGGCTTAATTACTGATATCAGTAAAAATACTTACTCGAATTTTATTGTTTCGTATATTTCTCTGTCATATATCATTTAATTTAATAGTTAACTGTGTAATGGCTTTAGCTTGGTATTTAATGTCAGCAATTTTTCAGGAACAAAACTATCGCTTATCTATTTTTTCCACTGTTCGATACTGCTAATACACCGTCTTGGTTAATATCTCCACCTACGACTCATTGCTTATCACGATCACCGAAACACCTGTATGAGGCCGGATGCTAGTTTGCTTTCACTTGTCGTATACGAACCGACAAACGAAACGAAAAAGTTCCGCAGCGGCTAGTTACAAAACACTGGGTCGCTCTCCCCCCTCTGGTATACTTTTGACCTGTCATATGAATGTTGAATGTATAGTGCGAAGCAATATTTGTCTTCAGACAGAGTTGCAGCGTTAATCATCTGTAAAATTAAAAAGATGAACTTGTAACAGAACATAATTGAGGAGAAGCGAAATAGCACGAGAGGAATAGACTCGAATTGTATCAATGATGTAACAGCAAGCGCATAGAAAGTGGGTATCATTAACGACCGGTCACAGTTAGCCACAGTAGGAGTATGATTCATGCTGCTTGCGCTGAGAGATATAAGAACTAGGTAGCACCAATCAGAAATTGAATGCATGCCATCAAAAAATTGAATTGGGAAGGATAATAAGGGAAACAGGGGGCAATTAGAATGACAGTAGAATTACAGGGATAGTGGGGTATGTAAATAACAATGCAAAGAAACTGTCAAATGAAGTATTTTATATATAATTTTCATATTTTACGAAAACACTGTGCAATTTTGCATTAAACAATAGATTGGTTTTCCATATCTCAGCTTCCATTCAGTGCAAGGATGCCCGGCAGAAGTACTGGGGTCTAAAAAAGCAACATCAACGAACCTAAAGAGACTCAGACTTAAACATCGAAAACACAGAAAAGCCCAGACACTAGGAAATATCCAGCTAATGCCTCAGCCAACCAGTCTGCTTCCATAACTGACGCACAGGATGTCGAACAAAGTAGTAGTAGTGAGTGCCCATTTGAGGCCGACAAAAGTTAGGAGATACCGGTAAGTCTAGTGAGTTATCTGTCCATTCCAAGTAAAAAATAAGGAGTGACGAATAACTACGGAGACATATTTTGTACAACTGCAAATAATAAAAGAGAGGCAAATAAAACTTTTAGTTTGATATGGTTTAGACATGTTGGGGGCATATGATGTTTGAGTAGGTTGCAGACGTTTCCGGGCACAACAGATCAGTGCAAACGACAGCTTCATCAAGAAGTCTTAAAAACGTACACAATCTACCTGCCATGTATGTTTATGAGGGAAGAAATTTCCATAATAATGCAAACATCTTAGTAGTGTCAGAATATTATAGCTCAAATATTTATATACTTCCTTATTTTTGTATCGAAGTACGTTCAGGCAAGAACCTGGGTATATTAACGATTAAAGAGGAAAATGGAACTACAAAATCATGGTAGGGTATTGTTCTTAGTCCTTAAGAATAGGTCAAGTTTTCTTTTAAAGTACTCCTGGGAAGTCGCTTGTACTAGCACAACCGGCAACGAATTTCAGCATTTGACAGCTCTTAAGTAGAGGGTGGGTCTACTATCCGTTTCGTTGTGCTGAGTCTCCAATTTCTGGGTGTTGCCTTTTATGTTTGTGTTGGAACTGAACTTAAGTAGGTGTTTGAGATGTCCAGAAATGTTGAGGATACAGAAAGCCGTTAGAAGGTTACATCTGAGATGCCTGCACTCCAATAGGTAAATATTTTGTTATTGGAGACGCTTGGCTTGGACGCTTCTAGGGAATAGATGCCTTATTTATAGTTGTAGTTTTATAGTTGTAGTCGGCAACACGTCTCAGGTGGACTACTTTTCATTTTGAAGTTCTAAAGTTAAGTCCGTTGTCATCTTTCTAACTTTGAAGTCGAGTCAGATCCTCCTGAAGGGTCAGTATATCCTCTTGGTAGCGTATCTCTCCAAAGTTTCACATTATCAGCAAAAAGTAATGTCAGACGATATATATTGTGAAAAATCGTCTGTATAAATCAAGAAAAGATGTCCTAAGGCATTGTATTACCTGAGAGAAGTGAAATTAAACTTGACCTTAAAATACCAGTTTGCTGTATTTGTTGTTAAAAGTATTTCGATGCTATTGTTCGTTTACTAGATTCAGTGTGGTGATGAGAATAGCTAATTACATTGTATTTTATTCTATGTAGGGACGTCGATATGCAGTCCGCGACATAATCCATTCAATGATCATTGCCGGCTAACCAAAATATCACGCCTACTCAAAATAAGTAAGTAACTTGTTTATCTTAATGTGATAATAGAAAGCTACATCAATTTGAGACTTAGATTTTGAAAAAACCAAGCATGACAATTGTCGGACACTTTCTAGAGATAAAACATACTTAAGATAATAGTTGCGACACAAATATTGAGTTTGAATAGCTGAAATCATAAGTGAATTGAAGCTAGACCAATATGGAATCCCTTCCGAACAACTGCAGCTATTCTTACAGCAGCAGATGTTAAATATTCAACAGCAACTATTGTTTTGGGATTCTCGACTTAACCAAATATTCCAGAACATGAAGGCGCACATTCCTATCTCATATAGTAGTCGTAATTTTAAACAAGACATGGCAGAACAGGGAATATTGTGCGAATAGGATTCGTCGCTATGGACGACGAAAAGAATTCCCAGTTGCTGTTAATGTGTCTTAGTTTCAAAGAGCGTCAAAAGTTTAAACACCATATCCTGCCTAATCAGGCACAAGAAATCAATTTCTACGAAACTAAATTCTTTAAACGTTTCGTGGAAAAATGTCACTATTTTGAGTCCGGCATAATTGTTTATATTTGACTAAAGAAGCTGACGATGACGACATGATGTGCGACGACTGAGTAAACTTACAAGTAGAACGATATAAGTTACATATATTGCCCGGTGGTTCAGTAACGACCATTTTGGTAACATCCTCTGTAGTAATTTCATATCTAATTCTTTCCAAGGCAGAATGTAAAATTAGTGAATTGTCTAGCACACAGTAAGATGATATCTTGTCAAATGTACATAAAATTGTGATAATAACGGAGGAAAAAGAAACAGATGATTCTTTAAATGAAACCCTGATTCCAAAACTGTGACACTAATATCCAGCCAAAAAAACCTTATATTTCACGTGATACTTGTTAAGAAAGCTGAAAGGACTCATATTAAAAAAAACTGTCCATCATATCCTCAAGCTGCTCAAAACACTTCGAAATGCGAGCCTAAGCATTGGCCCACGCATTCTAGACTCTTGGACAGACTTCATGGATATTTCGCCCGTCAACCCCAAGGTAAACGTTTTCTAGTTACGGTGGATGCATTTACCAACTGACCAGAAGTACATAGTATGCCTAATTGTACTGACTAGGAAACAATGCATAACTTGTCCAAAAGTTGTTTGGAGTCCCAGAGAACTTAGTGATTGATACTGGCTCATAATTCATTATAGACTTATTCAATTACTTTTAAAGTATAGATGGGATAACGCATATACATTCTTTGCCATATCATCCCCAATCGAAACTTTTTGTCGACAATCTAAAACAAGCATTATTGAAAGAGGGAGACGAGGGGACAACTAGACAAGTAATAATAAAATTTTTAATGGCTTCTTAACCGAAGAAGTCATGTTTGGGAGATGTATTCAAACTATTTTCAACGTCATGCTGCCACCCAAAAAAGTGAATGGAAACAGAACAAACCTTAATATCAAAAGTTTAAACGTTGGCGATAAAGTGTTTGTCAAGTCCTATCTCGGAAAGAATCCATGGGAATTGGGAAAAATCATACAAAATTCAGAAACATTTTGTTTAGGGTCTGAGCAGCTTTTGAGACATGTATCAGACACACAAACCAAATCCACAAACATTAAAGAATGATGCATATTCAAGATAACCAGCTAACTTTTCCACCGCAGTTAATTTCAGATACATCAACGACACATACGCCAAAGAATACTGAAAATAAGACTTGGACAGGAAAGAAAGCGAAATAAATGTAACGCCACCGGAAACCAACTGACAGGATACAGGTGGGCAAAGGAAGAAAATTCTATTCCGGAAGTGTGTTGTGACCGCTTCTGAGAATTACGACGGCTACTACAGAGTCCTTAAATGAGTTTCTATCCAATCAGAGAGTGATGGAGCTTTCTGGCATATCAACGTGGCATGCTACGTTTGGACAGTAGCATAACTTGCCCTTTGCGGATTGGCTGAATTATAATGATGTCATGGCAAATGCTACTATCTATTAATACTCATGATTTTCTGTACATTTTGACTTCCACTCAATAAACACTTCTCCAGATTTCTTATGTCCTCTGACTTTGCAAGTGTGTGCTTCTACAAGTTCAAATGCCGTAGTTATAAACCCTATTCTGCGTTAATCAACTTGCGAACATATCAGAACCTAATCATGATCGCAAATCTGGTGCAATTTCAATATGTGATAGTTTTTCTAATGATCTACTATTCTCTAACGAGATTCTTGGCACAACTGAGAAAAATATCTTAGAAGAATCAAGTTCCTGTGATGTCATATCAAATATTATATTTCATCATCTTTTGTTTTTGGGAGGAAACTTGGTCTATGTCAAGGAGAAGTTCTTAGTGAACTTATGTACCCATAAGATGTTTGTGAATAATAATAAATCAAACTAGAGTTAGGATGATCTCACATCAACTTTAGTTTATCTTCACCATCTAGTCACTGATTAGCGATTCACTCACATGATAATTCTAAGAAACAAACGTCATGGCAAGTTTTGGCGCATTTACACAGATTAAGCAAGTGGGAATATCGAGAAGTAAGTTGTCAGGTAAATGAATATCAATACGTTCAAGTCCCTGCAATATATTATGCCTGCAGACGACAAGTATGAGTAGTAACGAAAAGTTGTATCAGTTCAAATGTTGGGTGCTCTGGAACAAAATATAGGTAAACATGGTGTTTGTGAGTTATGTGAAAGACAAAAAACGGTAGTTTTCCCACGATATGCTCGGGTTAGAATAGGTTTGGTATGAAAAGTTTTGCGTTACATGGTGACCACATCTGCAAGGACGAGCCATGCAATTTCAGTCAATTGTTCCCGCGTTCATCATTTCTGTAAATTTTATCAGTTATATGTTCGGCTTCAAAGGTCGTGTAGTTAGAAACCAGTACTTCAACCTTTTTACGGGTAAATATAGCAGGTTACAACCACACAAATGTTCGACCCAACTGAAATCCGTGTTTACTGTGAAAATTAGCATATATCGAACTTTGGAGCTAGCTAGGCTGAACATATTCTGAATGATTTTATGCAAACTGTCTCCATTATTCTCAGAGGAAGAAACAATATTATCATGAAATATGACCTAATAAACAATCAAGAATTGTTGCGGCAAAATATTTTTTACAAGTGCCGATATTATTGCTCATTATAAAAGAACATAAAAGTATCACTCTTCTCCATGCTACATGTCAGTCACATATTAAGTTTTTACTTAGCTGTCGTAATGGCAACCCTTTCAACAAATGTGCTTACCAAGATACTGAATCTTCAAGAACGTATTCACGGATTGCAAAACTTCATTTCGAAATGAAGTTAAATGCAAATAAACCGTAAAAACTTTATTGATAAGCCTAGTCCTACTAAAACCATATCTAGAGCAATCTCCAGTTTTCTCTTTCCATCACTTATCTGCCAATATTTCAATTTGTATACACATTTTTATAGCTATGTTCAGTTTTTTAACTCTTGTTTTATATTTATACCTATATTTCAACGTAAGATGATCGTTTCATACTGTTTCACAAATGTTAAGATCAAGCATGTAGAAATCAAATTGTTTATACTATATCACCAAAATGAACATTATATACTGAACCCAATTAATAGTTGTTATAATATACTTCTTTTGACGTTACTATGACGAACTTAACGAGGTATTTCAGTCTTCCGCCGTAACTAAAGTAACGGTAAACTAGGTACTTTTGAAGTAAAATTATTTTATACAAACGGATTGAGGCAAGACAAAGAGTTTATACATCAACGCCATTTTGATCGACTCCTAGCAATGTCACACAAAGTCTTCAACCATTGATTACTGTAGTCACACGGATCCCAACAAAGTAGTCTGCGCAGACTACTAGATGCGCATCTAATAATATAGCTCAGATCAAAAGTCAGTGACTTCAAAACTGTTGCCACATTCTGGTTTGGACACAACTACTTTTCTTCGAATCGCCTCCAACTCTAGTCAGCAGTGCGTGATAATCAGTGTCCAGGCATACGTAACACGTGGCCCAACTATATCAGTCAATGAAGATTAACAACCTCATCAACTGATTTACCACCATTCCTTAACACTCTGAGTTTAATCTCACTAATAATTAGCCGGTGAATATATTTACAGGTTTATTTGTATCGTTTTTTCACAGTGGATCGAAAATTCCCAATAAAATGGATGTCCGGATCAAATATCCGTTTAAACACTTCCTGAAAGAAGGAATTGTTTCGAAGGTATATTAATTAATTATTCCTCATTTGTCCAATATGACAAGATGTATATAAAGTTCCAGCATTTTTAGTGAAATTTAAGTAACTTAACGATTATTAGCTACAGGTTCGTGTAATTGGTTAAATAGGTGAAAAATATTCGCTATCAATCTTACACATAAATATATAGTATTGCCGGTATTCATTGTTGGCGCAAGTCTACTGCTCCTTCTGATTTACAAGTACAGCGTTTAGTCATGTTCTGGTGAGAAACTACACCTGCATCCGTCTTATCAGAGGTATGAAACTACAACACAGAGATAACTAATGCCTCAGCTAGACTGAATTGTCAAATGCGCGTTTGGTGCAAAACTAAGTAAACACTCATTCGACATTGAAAAGAATGTGTCCTTAGGGTCAACATAGCTTCATATACAGATTCGTGAAAATGACAAATTGTGGCAATAAATCAGCAGCAATTAATGGATGCAGAGATCTTACAAAATTATTAGATGTCCGGCAATTTATCCCCATGATATTCTCAAAGAGATCAGTTTGACCAATATAATAATTAATTCATTAGGTTCCATAATGAGTTGGCGTAAGTGAAGTTAGTAACCAGTGTATCGGAAAAAAAATAGATGTTTCAGATTTAACTGTAGATGTTCTTGCGATAAGTTTACTGTAGACAGATCTACTTAATAGCACTTGACGATACAGCAATTTCTTAACCTCGAGGATCCATTCAAACCCGTTGGTCAATAAACTGTGAGGATAACCGTAAGACATATTAAGGAAACCTATTTGATTATATACTCCTGGTTAAGTACCAATGTTTTTGAGTGAGAGCTTATAACAAACTTACGTAGCGATTGGCTGGATAGATAAATAGTAGCGAACTCTACACCTACCAACATGGCTCAGTCCACTTGTCAGTAACTTCATGGATTTGTGCCATGTTTTGGTCTGGCCGCCCCTAGCTTTCTTCTAACATACTCCGACACAATAAAACATCGCTCATCGGTGCAGTCGATGGTTAAGCATCCGAAACACGTCCTAGCCATCTCAAATGATGAAGTTTTACTACCTCATCAATTGGTTTGCCATCCTTACCTAGTACCCGTTTCCTAACAACTTCATTAATTACTCAGTGGTCCTAGGATATATGAGCAATGTTTTGAAGACACCCATGATCGAATACTAGTAATCTACGAATATCCTCCACTCTTACAGGCCGTGTTTCACAGCCATAAAGTAGAACGGGACGAAATGCTGCACATTAAACCTGTCCTTTGGTTGGTAGACGGGTATCTCGCTTACGTCATAAATGACGCAAGTTGGCAAAAGCTAGTCGAGCCTTCTGTATCCATGCTGAGATTTCGTCACACACCAGGCCACAATGGTTGATGAGAATCCCGAAATAAGTGAAGCGGTCGGCACACTCAACTACATCACTCCCTATCATTAGTTCAGATGTCGATGCAACCCCATTCTGAAGCAACATTTTGCATTTCGAGGGGGAGAATCGCATACCGAACATACTTACATTGTTGCTTATAGTGGTTAGAAGACCGCATTTTTTCAGCGCCTTTACCAAATAGAACTACGTCATCGGCATATTCTAAGCCAACAAGTAAATCTCTCTGTAAAAGTTCAACTCCTAGAAATTTAGATGAGGAAAGTGTTATCTCTAAAAGTACGTCAATGACAAAGTTAAACAAGAATGGAGCAAGTGGACAGCCCTGACGAGCACCACTTGAGGAAACCAGATCTGATGACAGTTCGCCATAATCTCTCACTCGGCCAGTTGTGTTCGAATAGAGAGACTTTATAAGGTTAAAGTACTTCTTTCAGTGACAGGCACTGCCACAGAACCTCACGATCGATAGCGTCAAATGCTGCTTTAAGGTATCATATAGCTTATGATTGTATATTCATTAAGAAACTATAATAGTACGTATATATATTCCGTTTCGGTTGACTCTTAAACTACTGAAGTAGGGTTTAATATTCCTAATTTGTTAGCAGCTTATTACTTACAACCTCTCCTGCTCAAAGCCACTTTTGGCTCGTACATGTAAAATTGCTATCTTTTGTTTTATGCTGCGGCGTGGTTCAGTATGTCTTTATATAAACGTCTGTTTGTAATATATGTAAATTAGAGGCTGACTGTTGTCTCCCAGACTCAAAGGCTGGGCATATAAGGGAGATAGTGAAAAGTGGGTCAGTAGAAAGCTAGCTGTCGGGTCAGGGTCGATAATGATAGTAGGGCGGGTAGTTGGCCAAGTCAAAGACACCAAGCTATGGAGTAAATAGCAGACCAAATTAAAATCAGTATCCTGATTATTAATTGAGTATGTGATATTCGTCAGCGGTTACAAGATATATGTCCTGGTAACTTTTTTTGAATAGCCTAAGAAAAAAAGAACCGAAGTAAACAATCATAGCCCCACAAATACATATGATACTACAGGGCCAAAGGACGATGAGAATGCTTTAATGATATCAAGTGGTGATCAAAGTCAAACTAAATACAGAAAACAACCAAAGATAATTAAAGGGTTAGTCAAACTTATATATACTTGATCGATCTTAAACACAAGCCTGAAGAATTAATTAATTTTTAAATACCCATAGAAGGTCAATAGTTGACAGACATCCTAATTTAAATAAAAATTCAATTGAAAAACACTGTTTCGGAGTACAACCAGGTAAGTTAGTTGTTTAATATTGAGTTAAACCAATGATTATATTACCCATCTGAGTTCTATTTATTAAAAGAATAAATAGAAATTTAACTATACGTAATCTTCTCTAGCAAGTGATCATTATAATTATTGATAGTAAATCTATAATTAGACGTGGGAAGAGCCATCAAAATAATGAGTATTATATTCGATGACTGGAAGGATTCAGAGGGAAAACCCGAGTATGTTTCGTGCGGGTTAATGATATGATGTTCTTCATTGGATTGACTCAAATTACAACCAGACAATATTAGATCAGCTGTAAGGCTGAAATGCTTCCAAAAATTGATCATTCAGTCTGAATGTCGCACTACCTGCTCCTTAATGTCTATTGAGTCCTAGCTGTTAGGTTCTATTAAATCCTCTATTCTAATGGGTTATAGGTTACGTCGAACCACTGCTAATGGCTAAATAACATGATACTGGTAATTAATAATTGGCTAATTACCCACACAACAAAATCGCAGAGTTAACAGAAGAAAGCAATGTTCACTTTACTGTAACTTGTTAATTGGTAACAATAATTCTAACATTGATGTGCTTGTTTCATCTTTCTAAATTCTATATTTATACAGGTTTATCACAAACTGAGATAACTGCAGAACTAATTCGATACTCGCAAATGGTCAGTAAAATACAAGAAACTAACCCACAACTTTTCCTACGAAAATGTCAGTAAGAAAACATTATGGGAAAATTATTGCCCTTTAGAATTAAATAAAACTACATACATGAGGTCTTTTTGCCAACATTACCCCTTAAAATACATATCAATGGTAATTTGTAGAGTAACAGACTCCAGTGTGAAATAAACTACAATACTGATAATAATTTCTCGGCAACTAAACTGTTGCATAAACAAATAAAATCCTTAACGACTTCCAGATATTATTGTATTTCTGATCAAGAAACCTAAACAATGTATGTTCTAATATCGGTGTTGATGTTATAACCACATTAAGTTTCACAGCACAAGCTTACGCTGAAAACTAGAAACTGAAGCAAAGAAATGACAGTAATCCACTCAAGAAACTCTTTAAATGAGGAAATACATATCCAGACCTTTGTGAATTAAAATGAGCGTCTACTTGAACATTTTCTTACCTAACTGATTATTCACTAAAAAAATGAGGAAGTGTCGATAATTTTCTGCATACGTTGGCTGAAAAAATTCCAAACCGATGCAAAAGAGGATTTGTAGTGACATTAGTGTCTTGATATCAAGAAACACGTTTCCTCAAACAATTTAGAAAATAGTGTGTGCATTCTGTAGGACTATCATACCAACTAGTCATATTTTTAAGAAGTTATTTTTAAAGATTAGTGACAATTTCAGTGATATGGTTGAAAATAGGTGAGCCCAATAGTTAAGCCTTAATTATTTTGGCCGGTAAACAACTAATGATGATTTACAATCCAAATGAATTTTAAACATAAATAAATATATTTGTAATATCCCAATGAGTAGAAAAGAATTGGCTTACACTGAGTCACGAAACGTCATAAAATCTGATTTTTCTACTCATTGGGATATTACAAATATATTAATTTATTTATAACAATGCTCAGTTTATTTGCAATTATCAAGTCAAACCTTGGTAATGATACCCAAAATTTAAAACATGTATTTCTCCATGCTATACATTTTTAATATTAGTGTGTAATTTCAGTATTCAAAAATACTCAGCTTATTGATCAGATGTTTTCCCTTTTCTAATATCCAGTCACTGTAGAATAAACAGTAATAAGTATGTTTTTGAAAGTAGTTATCACTCAACCACACCATTCACCATAATCAATCGCGGATTCACATAACTATGGAACACATCCACTGCTACAGCATGTAGACATCGGTGAAAACGCTAACGAAGTCAACTGTATAGCATATTAGATAGAATTACTTACAGGCGGCTCATTTTATGAAAGATGTGATCGCTTCTACCACAAATAACTAAGGGCTATCAACAAAATATAGGACTTATTTTGTACTTTTTCGCTAACCTACCGAGTAGTCGTATTCACTAGAAGCGGTAACTTATGTTTAAGTAAAGAAATTTACGTTTAATTAGGTTGTAATCAATAAAATCCAAATGTTACAATCTTGTAAAGCCCAATAATTTTACAAAAGTTATGGTTTGATATTGCATAGACATATATCTAACCACACAATTCATTAAGTTTACGAAGTAAGAAACTTTTAAAATAGAGAAACAGTTGGATATCAATAAAAAAATAATTTTTATTCACAAATTACTCTAAGTCAGTCAATGATAATCGAGTTTTTACATTCAAACAAGCTAATTCGTACGTCAGATATCTAAATGCAGCTGAAACTTGAACATATTTAAGAGAGTTATCTCTGTCTCTAGACACACAGCCACTACTATCAGAATCACATAAACGACAACACCACCGGTTTGTACCTGGAACAAATGAAGACGAATCGTTTGAGGTCATTTGATTTACACTGGTGTTAGTGATATTTCGTGCCAAATCAGAATGCGTTAAACCACCGCATTTGGAACAGGCAAGCATCTTTGTAAGAGAAAGTCATACAAAAAGCATTTAAATCCACAAATTAACAAACAAGGTAGTAAACAAACGTTGTGGCATAATTTCATGAATATGTGCTACATGTTAGTGGAAACTAATATTGGCTAATTAGTTTTACAAGTGTCTAGTTGACACCTTCCTGATTAACACGTGGTGTTGTCATGTTAATACGATTGAAGAAGCTCTAGAATGTTTAGAATTAGAAAAGGATTCAAACTAGCATGAGGTATGGTGAGATTTATCAAAGTACAAGTCATGTGGTTATATACAGAAATTATTATCAAATTTATCACTTACATTCTGTTGTTATACATGATTGATATAAGTATAACATATTTTCTACGATGAAGATGATAAGTATTACTCATTACATAAATTCGACCCTAGGACATCAAGAATAAAGACATAGGGTGGACGCACCTGTGCCATTGTGAGTAATTTTGAGTCATATCACTCAGTTTTCAATCATCACTTACGATAATCACAAGGACCACAATTAGATGGTTTACATCCACCCACTTAGCTCAGTTCAATAGTCGGTGTCTTTATAAATTGGTGACAGGTCTTGGTTTGGCCCCTTATAGCTTCCTTCTGGCCTACTTCAACATTAGTTATCATCGTTAGTTGAGGTAGTCAGTGAACGGACATACATGATACAAGTCCAAATCATATTTATCGACACAGACTGGCTACCACGTCAGTCGACTTGCCATTATTGCTTAGCACTATGAGACTAATCTCAGAATCGCTAACTCAATGGTCCAGAAATATCCGAGTGATGTTTCGAAGACACCTATGACTGAATCCTATATTTTTAAAAGCCACGTTTAACATCCATAACGAAAAGAACTTTTAAATAAAACTTGTTAACCTATAGAATAAAATATTTAGTTAAAATTGAAAAATATAACTGTGACTGGGAGTCGGTATGTCTGTGCTCCAGGCTTTGGGGAAGTACGAATAATCGGTCTAAACATTTACGTCCACGTCTGAAACTACCCCGACGTTTAAGAGTTCGCTCTTCACAAGCCCTAGTTAAGTGACGGATGAGTAATAGTTTAGACACTATGATAGTTAAACTGAATATACTGTGGTTATTACAAGAGGTTCAAGCTATTTACTGGAGTGTTAAGGTATCCCGCTAAGACTACTAGGTCCGAGCATTTGGCTTTTAGTAGGAGAACAAAAATATTTCTGCAAAGCTCATCCTTCAAATTGAACTGCAGTCAGTGGGAGCGTAAGCAGATACGACGGATGGACAAAGGCATGTCTCTATTCTTTTGTGTTTTTGCTTCCCCTCTAGTCAGAGAGCACACAAATAAATGTCTGTTAGAATCCAAGCTAGGAAAGCCAGTTCTGGTTTAAACTTGGTAGCATTTAAGTCGCCAGAAACAGGAATGGTAAATCAAGCTAGTCCTCCGAGTTGACTAGGTGAAAAAATGTGAGTGACCATACATGGATTTTGTATTCGTGTTTCCGAGACTCAGCATACATCGACGGTGCAGAATTCTAGAGTCCTAATCAAGAAAGTCTGTCAGCCTATTTGACATGAGGTTCGAAATCTAAAGACACAAAGTGAATCTAAGAGCGCAATTTTAAGAAACAAGGAATAACATCTCGTGGACTCGAATGGTCAGTATTGGTGGTGCATAGGAATCAAGTCATAGAAGGGTCGGTGGTGGGGACAGAAGAAATACCAAGAAGTGAGGAACGAATATGAATGTGAACAAGAGGATCTTTGATGCTGATAGAGATATGAGAGTGACTGTCACTTCTTGGCTGCTCACACCATGGAAGGATATTTCTTATCATGAGTAGTAGTAGAAATTTCTTCAAAACCACTTATTAATCACGATCGATAAGACCAGACTAACGAATAATATTTTAGTTGAAACGCTTTATTCTGAGTGGCTGCGTTTTTTAACCTAATGATTACACAGCTGCGAATTTTTCACAAACATGATTTAGTTACCATTAATTTGATTGTGGTGACGTTAATTACTACTTGGTATGTACAACTTTTACCACTTGCTTTTTTAAATAGTCTGCATTGGTTTATGTTCTTGGACTAATTTTATCAATTTATATTTTAGAAACAAATTAAACTTTTAAGAACACAGTTTACTTGTCTTAACTCTAGAAACACCACAAATATATGTTCGACAGTTAAGGGTTTCGTTTAAAATACCTATCAACGGGAGGTAGAGTTGAATTTTACCCTTTAGTAAACTGTTAAATTACAACACGGACGAACTAACCACAGTAATAAATTCAAGCTAGACAAAAATCCCATGAAAAGAATAAAAAATTCAGATGCAGAAAAAAACGTGAGAAAAATCTGATAACTACTGTGCTATAACTAGTTTAGTTTAGAAAAATATCTACCTTGACTTTATCACAGTTGGAATCAACCAAACGATCTTGTAAACTGAAAACTAGACCATGTGATAACAAACAATCACGTTCCATTTCACCAAGACGAATACCACCTCCAACTTTACGACCTTTAATCGGTTGTCGAAGTATTGGATCGAACCGACCTTCAGCACGAACCTAGCAGAAATATATTCACAAAAGTAATCATTATTGTATTCAGTCATGTAAAACAGCATATTAAGTTTTAAAAAATCGGAATCACATGAGCAATCAGCATAAAAGAGTAAATCGAAGCAGATTTGAACTTCAACCAAGCTATGTTTTTATTTGATAAGAACGACAGTACAAGAAATTTTACACACAATAAAAGGATCTGAGTAATATGATTAGATTTCAAAAGCAGATATACTGAACACCCTCATAAATGTGGTCATATATTTATCTTATGATACTGGAAGGAACTCCTAGAGTCCACAAGTCTAAACATAAATAGTATACTAGAAAAACGCACACCTGATGTTCATCCACTATTAATATACTGCTTTAAGTCTTACAGTGAAACATGGTTTTCAATTCTCACATAGAACTTTAGTATTTGTATTTTACGAAATATCTGTTTCATAAAATTTAGGTGCGAACTGTAAGTGAAAAGAAGAGACTAAATTCAATAATAAAGCAATGGTTAGTTTGATAATTAACTTCTAATGGTTACAGGTTCAAATTACACTTTGGGATTGAAGTGTAACCTAAAATCTAATGCATGAAATCATATTTCACTACTGAGCTTTAAATTATTATATGACCTTCAAACACTGAGATCCCATATTCTAAAATTTAGCTGGTTTCATTAAACGTAATAATTTATGTAAACGTAACAAAAACTTTTTTTTTCTATGGCATACAATGCAAATAACTATTCTAATATCGAAAAAGACTAATGATCGAATTTACTCCCTTAAATCAATTACCCAAAAAGACAATATCGATCTTAAAAGTTGATACAAATTACCCAGTATTATAATATTTATCACATATATTCTTCATACTTGATATTTATCTGCTACCATATGTCTCAAACGTTGATAATAAACAACTCCGACGTATATTTGAGCTTCCAGTTGACGTCCAGTTGATCCAGACATCATTGTCTCTGTGCCCCAGTGATTGAAACCACAATCGGTTAATATTTGACAATAATCTTCATAAGGTGGTGAATCTTCTGACCATTGAAATGGAGTTGCATCAACTCGATTACCTAATAAAATAAATACGGACAATCAAAGTGAAACAAATTTCAGATGGTATGTAGTACACGGGGACATATCCCGAGTGGGTTCAAACCCCACTCCAAGCAGGCAGTTCAATTCGTCCTCAAATACCCTGATATAACTGAGGGTAGGGAGAGACAGCTCTCCTTCAAAGAAAGCTTTCATATGGACAAGTATATTAACCCACTAAAAGGAATGACTGGCTCACTGCCTTCTCGCGACAGTGTTGTTTACAAAATTTAGACGACAAAAAGAATATCCGGGGCCTAAACCGGGTTGATGGGTACGGAAGATCTACTAGGGGGCGCTGAAAAACGTTGATTGCAAAAC